GGGGGGGGGGGGCGGGGAGCCGCCCAGAAGGGGCTGGGCTGCGGCACTCCCCTCCTCATGGCCCGCTGCGAAGGGCTGTTCATTCACTGCAAAGACATGCTCAGCCCTGGAGGGTCCGAGAGACCATGACCCCCATTGTTTTCAGAAAAATATTGCTCAAGGTGTACCCGACAGCCCCAAGAATGCCAAAATTTGAAATCCATCCTCACACCCGTGAAGTCTCGACAGGAAGCAGTGAGAACGGAACCCGTAAGAAAATGTGCGGATGTGAGGGTACAGCCACCGTGGGGGAGGGGGACCAACTCCCAGTTCCTAGTAAGTTTCGGGAACTCCAGAAGCAAACACGGAGTGCGGTGCTTTAAGTCTTATATCGAAAGCAGTTAGAACAATGGAAAAAAGGCAAACTGGAGATGGAGAAAAGACGGGCAAAGAGATTCCTGCTTGTCCACTTTAGAGCCTCAGGCATTTTTGTTTCTATTTTGACTTGAGAAATAGGTGGATACATTTAAGTTTAAGAATCTTTACTTTCAGTTAAGCCAGAAGTAGAGGTAAAACACGATGTCCATCATCCAACAGCAGCAGGGAGAAGCAAGGCATCATGGAAGCGATCGGGAGGACCCACCTCAGGAGCCTCAGAGGCACGGCCACCCCTCCTGTCCAGCCCCGGAGGGTCCATCCCCTGCCCACTGCAAGGGCGCGCGGCTCCTGTCCCAGTACCCCCTCCCCGGGGCCAGCTGTGCCTTTCCCGGAAGCTCCCGGGGTGGGGATGTCTGGGAGTGCCGGTGCAGCCAGCCAGTGTGTCAGCAACAGGCCCGCTCTGTAAGTGCACGCAGGTGTCTGCTAGCCTGACCAAGGTGCTGCTCAGACCAGCTCCAGGCCACCCACAACTGTCAAATCCGCAGCAGACCCTCGGGCTCCAGAAGCCCACATCCTGGCCCTGCTTCACCCTCCAGGGCCCAGACGGCTTCTACCTGATGGGGGACAAGGCAGAGCCACCTCCTCTTCTGCTGGAGACCAGGAACTCTCCAGGGCCAGACAGGGTCCCCACGGCCAGTGGACTAGGGCGGGCGCATCCCCTCGGGGGCCTCAGGTTCTGTCAAAACACCTCCCCAAGGACCCTGCTGCTCTTCCCAAAACTCTCAGCCAGGCCCGGGGCCAGAGCATCTGAGATGCCAGGAACCTCAGTCACCCTGGTCCCAAGCCCCCACTCCCAAAAGTTGCCAGCTGAGCAGCGTCATGACAAGTGACCTGCAGCCTCGCTTCCCGGGCCCAGGCTGCCCGCCACACCTGGCATCTTGACCCAGGCCCAGATCCGTGGCCTCTGGACACCCCGTTGCCCCGCTTTTTGGGAGACTGAACCATCCACTGGTGGTGACAGCCATGGATGTGAGGAGCTGGGGGCTCACCTTCCCCTGGAGGGTGGAGGGCAAACTACCACATGGGCCGGACCAGGAAACTTTTTACTAAGCTCAGGGGAGGGGCGGGGCGTGCTTACACCTCGGGCACCCCAATCCCGGACAGGACACGGAGGACAGGGTGTGGAAGGCGGGGAGCCCCGAGAGGAGGCGGGGCCACAGCCAAGCAGACCCCTGATGGCTTGTCACCGAGCCCCAGGGTCCCAGTTCCCCTCCCAGCTCCTCCACCTGCTGCCGAGGGGGCAGGACCGTGCCCTCGGGGCCTCCTGAGTTGGGAAGGCAGCCCCCTCCTCTGGGGTGCAAGGGGCCCTGGGGGCACCCGGGGACGGGGTTGCAGACAGCTGCCCGCTCTGGTCTCCACCCACACCTGCATGCTCCCACACACCTGCGCATGGGCACGCTCACCTGCACACTCACACCCACATTCACACATGCTCACACCTCACCATGCAGGCCCATGTGCACACTCACACACACGCACACCCTCACATGCCTCACATGCACACAGACACCCACAGTGGCACCTGGCCCCCGCTCCCCTGCGAAATGGCACCTCCACATCTGGAGTCCATGGCTCCGCCCCCCAAGCACAGGCCCAGCCCACACGGGCCCCCCCCCACCCCGGCCTACCCAGGCAAGTCCCCAGGACGCCCACAAAGCCACCACCTGACCCCAGGCCCAGCCCTCCGTCCCTGTGCTTCTTGCGCTGAGACTAGTCTGGACCCAGGGGCTCTGGAGCCGCAGCAGAGTGGACTCAGCCCTGGGTGGGGACCACCTGGGGCAGAGGGCAGCTCCATCCCACACTCGGCTCTGTCTCGCAGGTGGTGGGATTCTTGTCCACACGCGGCTCAGGAGCAAGTGACAAGAATGACATGTGACCATCGCGGGCTGGTGGGGTCACGCTGGGGACGCGGGCTGCTGCCACGGAACCTTGCAGGAAATCACGCAGACGGCATCCAGCCGAGGCCCGGGGAGTGGGGGGACCACAGCCAGCCCACTGGCCGGAGGGTGTCCCTCCAGGCTGACAGGGGGACAGGCCCGTTGCCCCCGCATGGCATCTGGGGGAGGCCCTCCCACCCCTGTCAGCTGCCACGCCGCTCAGGCTGGGAACGGGGCGCCTGGTGAGGGGGTCGCTCGGTACACGCAGTGCCGAGGGGAGGCATGCAAGTCGCAGGGGGCCGGGAAGAGCCCCGGCCGCGGCCCCAGGGCAGGCCATGTGCCCTGGACGGGGCGTCCGGGGCCAGGCTTAGATGACGGCGCTCTTCTCGCCCTGGAAGGAGGCATGGGGGGCCGGCCTGGCCAGCAGCAGCTCCTTCTCGTGGACCAGCTTGTCCAGCAGGTCCTCCTGGCGGTAGTTGTGGTAGACTTTCAGGAAGGCCAGGATGGTGATGGCCAGCCAGGCCAGCCACGAGGCCCAGAGGCCGAACTGTGGGGGGCAGAGGGCGGGGTGAGGGGGCCAGTCAGACCCAGTGGCCACCACCCGCCCCCCGGGAAAAGGACAGACCCGCTGGGGAAGGAAGGAGGTGCTGTAGGGACAGGACAGGACTGGGACGTCACCCCCGGCATCTGGCGGCCCTCCCAGCCCCCAGGCTGTGCAAATGCTTTGGGAACTGCCCACGCTGGCACCCTGACAGGGCCCGCGAGGAGCTGGGGCCGCTCGGCTCCAAGGGAGCTCGTTTCATCCGTAATGGAGCCTCTTCCAATCGCCGGAACAAATTGACCTTTATCTGCTGTTTCCAAACAGTTGAAGGGGAAACAGTTTAATCAGAACCAGCCTCGAGTTGCAATTAAACTGACTCAATTGAGGGTGTTTGTCATCAGACTTAGCCTGTACCTTCCTTGAGCTGATCGGCATAAATTCCATAAATTCAGGCTGGAGCACTTCCCACTAAATTTGTGCGAAGGTGTCTCTGGCAGGCTCAGCTCATCTCAGCTGGACCCACACGACGTCCAGCACCCTCCACGGGGCTCCTCACCATAGAAAGAGTCCTCAGACCAGCCACTGGCCAATGCGGGTCCAGAGGTGGACCTGCAGGCTGGTGAGCCCTGCCCCGTGCTGAAAGGACCCACCCCCTGCCCGGGGGGCCCCTTCATCCCTGCCATCAGGGTCATCGTCAGGGTCAGATGCAGATCTCTGACCACATGTCCCGACATGCCTGTGTTCCAGCAGACAGGGTCCCCAGAGTTGCCCCGTGGTCTCCTGGAGGGTAGGGGACGAAGCTGATACAAGGGCAGGGTCTCCCCGACAGTGGCTGGGGGGCTCCTCCAAATGCAGGGGCGGATCCCCTCCCGGGACACCCTTCCTCAGACACTGCCTCGGCATCCCTCTCTGGGGACCCACTGTGAGCCCTCAAGCGTCTATCTGAGGACCCACTTGGTGCCAGGACCAGAATCCAGATTCCTGGCCCCGGCACTGCAGACCCAGGATGACGCCCGGCTTCCTTCCCAGCACCACCCGGCACAGGGCCACCCCCTCACTCCCCAGGCCTCCCCACTTCTGCAGTTAGCTCAAAAGGTAGCTGTTCCCTTCTCCTAGGACGCCCCACAGCCCACCCCTCCCCACCCCCTGCAAACATCCTCTCAGTCTCCAAGATCCAGCCGTCCACTGGGAAGCCTTCCCGACTGCTCCCCCAGCCCAGTGCTCACCCAGGTCCATCTCGTCTGCCTGGCACCGTCCTTAGCTATGAGTGTGTTTCCTGCCCCGGCTGGGGTGAGGGGATGGGCTGTGCACTCGGTGAATGTTCAGCAGTGAATGGCCCCCTGCCCAACAATGCATGCCTCCCTTCTGCCTGGGCAGCTCCACCCACCTGGGCCATCGCGAACTGATCATAGAAGGCGGAGTTGTCCACGTTCAGTTCCAAATCGATGTCCTGGAGCTCTTCGCAGCTAAAATGGCAAGACGCAGGGTGGATGGGGACTGCTGGGGGACCAAGCATGGCGGGGAGCAGAGCATCACCCCCGAACGGCGAGGGGCTGCCCCCAAGGTGGGGCAGACAGGTGGGATGGGGCCCCACCTGTGGGGCAGGGAACCTGCAGACCCGGCCCCAGCTGGCGCTGGTCAGTGGGGGCCACCAGCGCTGCCCGTCACTCTCCTGGAGACTCCAGCCTTGGCCCCCGCAGCTCCACAGCACTGCAGAGGCAGGGGCCTCAGAAGCAGGGGCGCAGAGCTGCTGCTTCTAGCCCCTTGGTCCCCAGACTGAGCTACGCAGTAGCCCGGCTGAAGCGCCATGGACATCCATGGGGGCAGCCGCACCACCTGGCCCGCTCACTCTCCATCTCCTGCGGCTGGCGGCACGGGCCAGCGTGGCCAGCGGGGAGAGCAGGGCAACTATAAGGTGCTGGTGACCTGCACGAGCTCCTTGTCTGTAGACAGGCTGGGCCAGGCCAGCCTCAGAAGCCTGCAGGGAAGGAGGCCTGGGCTCAGGGGCCCGTAGCATCCCGAGATGTCAGCACACGTTAACGGGAGCGTGAGGCCTGGAAGAGGGAGGCCCAGAGGTCCAGGCAGGCCCTGGAAGGGCCCGGAGGATGGGGTTTAAGGGCTGGAAATGGAGTTTGTGAGGGTAAAGAAACTCTTTCTAGAGAAGCCCAAGGCCATACCCAGGGGCCTCCCCATGCTCCGAGGGCTCTGGGGGCTCGAGGGGGGGCGGGGTGAGGAAGCAGGTCGTCAGGCAGGGCACAGCTCAGCATGGGCAAGACCCCAGCCCACAGGGGGCTGCCCTGGTGTGGACCCGCAAAAGAGCCACCCACCCAGGGTGCTGTTGTGTGCCCCAAGCGGCTACAGAGGCACCCCGGGGACCCCCAAGGTAAAGGTGCAGATAAGCAGGTAGATGCGCCCTGCCCCCCGCCCACTTCGGATCTTTTGTCCATTCTATACTTTAAGGTTCCAGATCCGATATTTCTTAAAGAAACAATCTGGAGTCGCTGGAAGAGGAAACCCCAGGGTCCCTGCCTTTCCAGGGGAATGGCCTGGGGCACTGGATGATGCCCCTTAGGGCTGGGCAGTGGGCAGCCCTTTACTGGGGGTCAGGCAGTCACCATGCTCCACCTTGGGCCGCCCCCAAGCCAGAGATGGCCCCTGGCTCAGCGCCCAGAGCATCCGTCCCAGCCCCAAAGGCCTCTGTCCCCGATGCCCTCCGACCAGAAACTTCCACTCCCGCCCCTCACCGTCCCCACCCCCTCCATGCTTACATTCCACACCCTCCTTATTACCACACCTGGGCCCAGGCCTCTGCCCCCAACGGCAGCACAGGGCCGGCTCTCCAGGGCCTTCCGGGACCTGGAGCCCACCCTGGGGGGTCCCGTCACCCAACCGCGTGCCAGCAATGACGGGGAAGCCGGAACCTCCGACCTCCTGGGCCTCCAACACCCCCATACCCTGATCCACCCCCAGGGTTTGTGGGGCCCCTGCTCTCGTGTGAAGCTGCTGTGGGCTCCCTGAACTGGGGAGCGGGTACGGGCCCCAGGGCAGGGGTGGCCAGGTGTGCACAGGTGGGGGAACAGGCGGGATGAGCAGAGCTGCGGGCCCAGGGTGGGGTTCGTGCAGGAAGCCGTCATCCTAGGAGCAGCGGGCAGGGCCCAGGGCGCACCTGTGGGGCATGGCGCCCTTCTCAGTGACAGCATCACACCACATGCTGAAGCCCACGCTCACGATGGTGCTGGCGATGAAGACCAGGCAGACCACAACGGCGCTGACCAGCAGGTTCAGGAGGGCATGGAGGAAGGAGCTGCAGCAAGGGTGGGAGGGGCGGTCACCACGCCACCCCCGTCTCCACAGCACCCCTGCGGGCCAGGCAGCAGCAGGAAGGCAGCCCCCCGACCCGTGGGTTCCCAGCTGGGGTCTGGGCCCCAGATGACGGGGTAGGGCCAAGTGGGGCCACCAGAGGTCGCTAACCCTCCGGCAGCGTTCCTCACCCCACAGGCCCACGCGCCGGCCAGAGCTGCCCAGCCCGTCCTCCCAAAGCCCGGGAGTGGGGACCATCTTATAGCAGAGTCACGGCCACCATTCAAATCCAAGGCCGCCTGGTTCCAAAGCATCAGAACCAGCACCCATGCTGAAAAGGTCAGACAGCCTTTCAAGGTGGATCACCCTCACGGGCACCCACCAAGGCCATTTACCCACACAGTCATCAATGCGGCTGGCCTGCACCTGCACGGGGGTCTGTGACCCTGCTCTGATTTCCCCACTGAAACCTGAAAGGCCAAGGAGTGACCAGAGCGGGCACCTGGGGGGCCCAGGAGGCAGGGCCGAGAGGGCAGAGCTCGCTCAGGGCCAGGCTGCAATGCCCCATGGGGCCAGGGCCTCTCCAGGGTCCATGGGAGCATGGCCCCCACTGGGGTGCTTTCAGAGGGCGCCGACGTTTGCCCTCCAATGGCACGGCGGGTGGGGGGAGGGACGTGGTGGGAACACCCGCCCACCAGACTCTCCTGCCGGCCCACAAGCATCCACCGTCCCACCATCTCCAAAACACCCCCTGGAGATCCAGAGTCCTGCAGGAGAGCAGTCGGCCGAGCTGATGCCGCAGGGGACAGGGGGCGCAGGGCTGCTCCACGGCAGGGGTGGGGTGGGCAGAGGGAACGCCCCCACGTGGGACAGCAGCCTAGACCTACATCTAACTTGCTGCAGGTCTGATGTGGACATCAGTGCTTGCAGTACATTGAATCTGAGGGAAACAATTGACCAAATCTGGCTTCACGGGGAACATTCACTAAACAAAGTGTCAGCTGGGGTTTCAGCCAAGAAAACGTCAAAGTTATTGTCACCGGACGCGGTGACTCGGCCGAGGCCGAGCAGCGACGGACGCACCGCTCCTGCGTCTGTTGTTTCTTTCTCCTGTTTATCCACCCGCCCGACGCTTTCTGGGCCTCCACCCACCCTGTGCTGGGCCCCGAAGACAGCGCAGCATGGATGCCACAGTCCTGGCCCAGGAGCTGCCTCAAAAAAATGGGCGGATGGTAAACCGAGGTCACCAGTGCCCGACTCACAGCACGAATGACCCGGCTGCTTTGTCACAGCCAGGACTGTCCGCATCCCCAGGGAAAGATCCCACAGGGCTGCTGTCAACAGGCCCAATCCAGGGCTGCCCTGCTGAGTACCAAGGCTGGGAGGGCTTGAGCCACCCCGACAAGAGCGTCAGAGGAGGGGCAAGCACGTTCCTAAAACCCCAACAATCACACCTGAAAGGGCAGGGACAGCGGGTCTGGCCCCATGTTTGCACTCACACTCCCGCATACACGTGGGGCCTCCACACCCAGGATCCAGGCCAAGGGGATGAAGGTGAGAGCCGTGCACAGGAAGCTCCACGCCTGCCACAGCCCCCCATCCCCAATTCTCCAAAGGCTGGTCCAGGCAGCGCAAGCTCGCCTGCACTCACCGGGCATCCATGGTCCTTGCCCAGCTCAGCGTCAAGGTTGTGTGTTTACTGTGCTTGAGTCTCAAGCTGCCCACGCCCTGCTGTGTCTCACCCTTTGTGGCACCATAATCCCTGCCTGAACTGGACCATCGTGGGCAGCTGCTCTTCAGATCACGTCCCGTCCATCCTCCGCCTGGGGGGCCGAACGGAGGGGGCCGCCCTCTCCCTGGCTCCTGGTTGCATCCAGCCAATGGGGTCCCAGGGGGTATGTGACAGTGCAGGTGGGGGGTGTTCATGCCCAGGTCCCTCCTAGGGGCAGCCTCAGGCTGGCGGTGTCCCTCCACCAAAGGTTGTCCCCCTGAGCGGCCTCATCCACGTAACCCCGCCCAGCCCTCGGCCGGGCATGGTGACAGGGTCCCACACCTGGCCCACACCTCGGTCCTCACGTTTTCCTCACTTGGGCGGTCATCAATCTCCACCTGGGACCCTGATGGACACAGTTCTGAACTGCAAAATCCATCTGGCCCTGAGAGCTCGAATTAGGGGTCAGGGGCCTATAGTTATGAAGAGAGGTACGTTATGGCCCACCCCCTCCGAAGCTGTCACCGAGCAGAGGCGGTGTCAAGCCTGGTCTGCCCTTTGCCAGCTGTGTGACCTTCACTCTGCAAGGCACTCTGGGGGCCTCGATTTCTGCTCTGTAACATCGGGTTACGGTGGGAACTGAGGGAGCTTATGTGGGTGAAGGGCACGTAGCTGCGGGGTGACTCATGAGCTCTCATCCCCCCAGGACAGACCTCAGCCCATCATCCAGGCCGGGTCGGGCTCACTGCCCTCTGACCCCCGAGCCAGGGGCACACCTGGAGCCCTCGGGCTGGGGACTGTGTTGCCACAGGAGATGGGGTGCGGGAAGCGGGGATGGAGAAGCTGCTGAGTCACCCTTGGGAACCAGATTTGGAGACGGCCAGCTGTGCCCCCCGTGGAGCAGCATGGGGCTGGGGGGGGTGGGCTGGGGGGTTGGGGAAGGCCCAGTCCACTGGAGGCCCCCTTTTCAGGAGCTGGTGCTCCGAGGAAAGCAGAGGTTACGCAGAGCCTACGCCCCTGGCATCTCCATCTTGGATGGACACTCGGCTCCAGCCAAGGAGAACATGGTGGTCCCAGGGAGGCCAGGGACGAGCTGCCACAGGCAGAGCAAAGGAGCAGGCCGCTCTTGGCACAGAAGTCCAACCCCCTGGGACGGCCGGTTCCCTAGGTGCCCTCCGCCTGCTGACAGCCCTCTGCCATCCCCCCAGGAAGCCTGTCCGCAGTGGGGCTTGTGGGGGAGGGACGGCCAGGGTGCAGAGGGCAGGCCAGGGGGCCACCAGCCGGCATCAAACCCTGCTCCTTCTCTCTGGGGGGACCCCAAGCCCATCCTGCACCGAATTCTAGAGGCCCAGGAGGGCCCCTCACCCCGCGTGCACAGCAGTGCCCTCGTGGGACCCCTGGCACAGCGGGCCTGAGACACAGCCGACCCGTCGGAGAGCTGCCCCTTCCCACCTCTGAGGGCGATTTACAGCACAGTCTCTGAGAGCCAGAAACCACCGACACTCCAGCCGCATCCCTATTAAATGGGCACAGTTTTGGGATCTCCATCCCACAAGACAGGGAAGGGCCCGTGCTGGGGTCCTGCCCGCCAGCAGCCTCCTCTTACCCTTCCCATCGGCTTCTGGTCATTTCCTTGGCATCTGCTCTGGCTTTACAGATTTCTGAAGAATCGGGTGTGTGAGAGCCTCACTTGGCCCCGGCCACCCAGCGTTCACAACACGACTCCCACCCCCTCCTCCCAACGACAGGCCGGGGCAGCGGTCAGGAATGGGAGCCCAGCACTCACAGGGTTAACTGCATCTTTCTCCCGCTGCCTTTCAGGGTGCCCTGCCTGGATGTGCCATCTCCATGGTGACAGCTATCCTGGGAAGCCCTGGGAGCGATTTTCAGGCTGAGGGACACGTGTGGGCAGGCAGATGGGCTGTTTTAACCCAGCGCTCCCCAGCCGTCAATCACAAACCACTGCCACCTGGACCGGCAAAGCTGCCCGGCCCCCATGCCCAAGACTCACCCTCAGCTGAGCCAGGGGCCTGAAACAGCAATGCCCCCAGGAAGCCACAGGTGCCACTGATCCACTCACTCCTACCCCCAGCCAGCAACCAGGATGACACCCCCTGTACAAAAAGCTGCCCCAACCCCTTACCCTTCACACCCCTGAGCACAAGCCATCAGGGGTCCCCAATTTGCACAGAGACACACTGCACGAGGAGGGAGCTGGCACCATGGACACCGCGTCTGACCACAAGCTCGAGACCCAGCCATGAGCCCCTCACACAGATCAAAGTGTAGGGTTCCACCCTGGGTCTCGGTCTGAAGTTGGACTCTTAGGAGAATTAGGGTGCACACCAAACCCTAAGCAGGCAGGGCCCTCTAAAAACCCAAGTCTAGGGCTTCCCTGGTGGCGCAGTGGTTGAGAGTCCGCCTGCCGATGCAGGGAACGCGGGTTCGTGCCCCGGTCCGGGAGGATCCCACATGCCGCAGAGCGGCTGGGCCCGTGAGCCATGGCCGCTGAGCCTGCGCATCCGGAGCCTGTGCTCTGCAACGGGAGAGGCCGCAACAGTGAGAGGCCCACGTACCGCAAAAAAAAAACAAAAAAAAACAAGTCTAAGGAGGACAGTGGTGTCCTTCATGGGCCGGATGTCCAGTGGCCAGCCACACCCCTGAGAGCCATCGTCCATCACACTGCTCTCTACCTGCCCTTCCCGGCCTCCTGGCCGTCCCGAGTCCCTTTACCCACCCAGCACCTGCTCGCCTGGTCTATGCAGCTTGACCAACAATTGTGCCGGAATTGGCTGCCCTCAGCTGACCGTCCTGCCCGTGGCTGGATGAGGCAGACCCAGCCTTCCCACAGGTCCAGACCTGGCTGACACAGCGAGCCCAGAGGGCTGAACCCTGGGTCTGACTGTGAATCTGCAAAGGCATCAGGACCCGTGAGTGGCTGTGAAGCAACAAACCTCAGGGGGCAGGAATCTTGCTGTCATTCACTCAACAATCATTAATTTGGTGACTCCTGGGCACCATGCCCCGTGCTCAGCCCTGAGCACACAGAGGTGAACAAGGTATGTGTGCGCCTTGCGTTCAGCCAGCCCAGGGTCCCCTCAGGTGCATAGCGATGGCCTGGACATCCACAAGAGCTTTGACCTGCTCCTACAACCCGAACTAAGAAGAAAGGATGACACTTGTGACAGATGTCATCACAGCTGACCAACTGCCAACTGGCTTGCGTGGTGGACAGGGTGGGAGCAGGCAGCGGGACAACCCTGTGGCCTTGGGCTGGAATTCCTGATGGCTGAGAAGGACGTTCTGCAACAGATGTCCCTGGAGCAGAGAAGCCTGGCCCAGCTTTGGCTGCCATGGTCAAGGCCATTGGTGGCAGGACAGATGAGCCCCTAGGACTGATGCAAAGGGACAGAGGACCCTAAGTGTTCCTCCAACCAGGCCACCTCCATGGGAGCACAGGTCCCCTCTGTCCTCAGGGGACAGGCACAGTGAAAGAGCACGGGGAGGCGTGTACACTCCCAAGCCTCAGTTTTCTGTCTTTAAGATGGGGATGGGGATGGTTTCACAGAGCTGATGGACACCTTCTATGAGATGACAAAGGACAGAAGCTGTCCCTAGGTTCCTAGGTTTGCTGCCCAACTTGTGTGAAACGGGCGGTCCTGCATGACCAGGATTCCTTCCTTGCAGGCTCTGGGCTCTTAGCTCCCAGCCTCTGGTGGTGCCTCTGAAACCTCCCACCACTCAGAGCCACGGGGGGCTGGGCCCCACCTAGAGAGCTGCTTACATGTCCTCGCCAGGTAGACCCTGAATGCCTTGAGGTCACCTGTCTTGTAGGGACAAGCTGGAACCATGGGCGTGAGCTGATGACCAAGCCGTGGCCCCCACCTGGCCTGTGCCCACTGCCCTCAGCTTCCCAGACTGAAGGGACCTCAACCTACCCCACCTGCTGACCACCCATCCTCTGCCTCAGACCCTTTCTCGTAATCAGAGATGCTTCTCCAGCCCCAACCTGCACTGGAGACTCCGACCGGGCACCACGTGGGCTTGGCACCGCAGGTGCAGATGTGTCTCAAAGCCTCCTCGGGACACCAGCCATCGTGCGAGTGGAGGGAAGGAGAAGCAGGGCAGGCGCCCCCCCCCCCCCCCGGCCGGGCCCGCGCGCACCCCCGGAG